GCCCGTCTCCCGGGGAGCTGGGCCGGGAGTTATTCGCCCTCAATGGCCCCCGGCTGCGTGCCCAGCAGCCGCCTTCCCTCCCAGAGCCACCGCCCCGACTCCAGGCCCCACCCCTTGGGGAGGAACCGTCCCATCCCTCCCATCCCTCCTTGGAACTGTCTGGCCTGGAGCCGGCAGGCACGTGATCCGGGGGGCGCCCCGCCCCCTCAGCATTAGCCAGGCGATTGGCTCAGGAGGCGCGTGCGCTGAGAGGCCCGTCCTGTGCCACCTCCCACTTCCCCTCCCAGGGTCTCTAGTTCCCATCATGGCTGCCGCCGCCGCTCTGGAGGCGGTGGCGCCTACGGGCGTCCTGTGGGGCCTCGTGCAAGACTTCGTCATGGGTCATCAGGAAGGCCCTGCTGACCAAGTAGCTGCAGGTACGGCAGACGGCGCCGCGTGGCTTCCGCTTGGGGGCCTTCAGGAGGGAGCGGCCTCAGCACAGGCGCCGGGCGGGAAGGGAATGAGGGACAGCAGTGACTTTGAAAGATGTGTCCTGGGCTGGTTGTGAGCACCGCGTGCTTAAGAGCCGTACCAAATTGCTAATCGCGTGCAGTCTTCCTTAAAGAGCTCTTACGCCCCTCATCTCGGTTTATAGCCACCCTGTGCGCCCGCCGAGGTTAGGAGAATCGTTACCATTTTACAGATGAGAAAACTGAGGCCCAGCGAAGGCAAGGAACCCGCAAATCAGGCAGCTGGGGGAACTGGGACTCGGACTCAGGCCCTCCAGTTCAGAATCAGGTGCTCACGACGCGAAAGCACGTTGTTTCTGGGAGGTTGACCTGACAAGAAACATCTTCAGCGGCATCAGAGCCAGTCGCGTGGCATGTTGGGAGTGGCCGGGCGGCCGGATTTCTGACTGGCTGTAATTGGAGGGAGGAGGAAAGAAACCAGCCTAGGGGGAGTTTGCGATGTTCTGCGTATCCTTTCCCTCCATTTCTTGTTAAAGTTCTTGATTAATCTGCTTCGTGACTTTTTTATGTTGTTTTGTTTTTAATCTTTTCCCCACAACTCCAGTTTACTGCTTTTGACGAGTTTAGGTATCTCTTAGTTCTGACAGCTTATCTAAGATTTGAATAAAACAAATTACAGATTACCTTGGAATTCTGAGCTCTCTCTTTTAGAAAAAACATCTAAAAAGTTATTGAATGTTAGGAGGCCTTCAGACCTTGTGTTTCAGTAATAGACTACAAAATCTCATCAGTACAGATGAGTTTTGTCTTTATTTTTAGAAATTTTACATGTTGTGAAGAAGTAAAGGATGCATTTCTCTTGAAAATTGAACATATTCACTTTTAGAATATGTGAGAAATGAATAAAGTGAATCTGCCAGAAATATAATACTTAGGTCCTTAGCAATATTCCACTTTCGTTCAGTCCTTCCACCATTATTGAACACATTATTCCTCAAACGCAAAGCAAATAGGAATATAAACACAAGTTAAACTAGATATGTGCCTGCCAGGAACTTACAGTGTGGTGGGAGAGACAACCATGCAAACAACAGTACACTACACCATGAAAAGGGCTGCAAGAAGTATGTGCAAGGTGATGTGGAAGTATCAAGGAGCATCCTGATGCAGCCATTCCACTAAGCTCAACTTCTTAACAGCTTTATGCAGTGTAGTGTTATCAGTGCTTACAATGAACAGCTACAGTTTTACTAATGTCATTTTCCCCAATATTATGAAAATTTTCGAACATACAGCAAAGTCTAAATGATTCCATGAGAAACACACCCACCACCTAAATTCTGCCATTAATATTTTAATATAATTTGCTTTATGGCAAATCTATCCATATTTAAATTGCAGATATCAGTACACTTCCCTCCAACTGCTTTGGTATTTATATCATTAACTAGTGTTTGTAGTTTATTTTGGTATTCAGTGACGTGTACATTCACTGATTTTAAAAAATGCATACACCTACCCCCTACCAAGATAAAGAACATTACTATAAAAAGTGTCATTTTTTAACTATTCTTTCACATTTATACATTATGAACACAATAATTTAGGGTTTTTCAAATTCAGAACACACTTAAATCAGCATGAGTAAGAACTGCCAAGTTCTTACAAATATTTTTGTAAAATTTATATTTTTTATGCCTAAAAAAAGTGGCCTAAACTATTGTCTAGTTCAAATTTAACTCAGCTCAGCTAAAACCGCAACACTAGCCCTCTGGTAATTTAGCCCTCCTGACTAGGAAAGGAGGTTGGTAGTAACAGATAAGTAACAGAGCAGTAATAGCAGATAAGGTTGAAAAGGTTTGATGGGGTTGGATTATACATAATCTTCGATTCTAAGTAGAGGGATTTGAATGATTGTTGTAGGTAACTGGAGTCAATGTAGGGCCTTGAGCAAGGGAGTTCTATAGTGAAAGTGAGGTTGAGAAGGATTAAATTGGTGTTCTCAGTCTTAGATCAGCCTTAGTTAGGATTGTTGAAGGCTGACAGATTTTTGAAGCATCCCCAGAATAAGATATGCTCTCTAATCCTCCAGCCTAAATTAAGCTTTTTAGTGCTAAAGGGAGCAGCTTTCTAGTCATCCACTCACCACAGCGGCCTCTCCTACAAACTGTAAATGCAGAAGGGACAGCCTGTGATCACAAAGGCAGCTACCACCTTTGTTTTGCACC